AGTGGGCCCCCCCGTCCCCGCCGCATGCGCGGGGCGGGCAGCGCCGCGGCACCATGGCCGGGTACAGCGTGGAGGAGCGCGGGGCCCCGCACAGCCTGGAGTACCGGCTCTTCTTCAGTGAGTCACCCCTTGCTTTCCCCTGCCCCGCACCCCGCTCCTCCTCCCCGCACCCCCGGAGCTGGGGGTGCAACACCCCGGCCCCAAATGACCCCCCTGCCCCCGGGACTTCTTGCCTTGCAGAGGACTCCAGCGGGCGCTACATCTCCCCGTTCCATGATGTTCCCATCTACGCGGATGCCGGCAAGGTAAGAGGAGCTGGGACAGCCCAGGGAAGCTGTGGATGCCCCATCCTTGGAAGTGTTCAGGTTGGATGGGGCTTGGAGCAACCTGGGCTTGGTGGGAGGTGTCCCTGCCCATGGCAGGGGGGAGTTGGATCCAGATGATCTTGAAGGTCCCTTCCCACCCAAACCAGTCGGTGAAAGGGGGGTGAGGGCTCACCGAGGCAAGGTGGCTGATGTGGCCTCTGGCAGCTGATGGAGCTCTGGGCCCCCAGGGTGAGCATTTTGTCCGTGCTCCTCGGGGAATGTGGTCCTGAAGCACACGAGGGAGGCTCCCCCCCAACACCGGCAGGAGCACCCTGACAAAATCCAGCTGGGTGCCCTTTTCTTGCAGTCTCAGCCTCAGGTAGAGGAACAAAAGAGATCTCATTCTGATATTCAGGCCTGGGATCTGAGAGGTTGTTTTGAACCTGCCCACGAGGTCGCACAAAAGCCTTTTTGGGTGAGAAGTTTCCCATTTAGCTAAATACCTTCACCCACAGAGGTCAATACCTTCACCCCACGGAGCTACACGCTCACGCTGTGGGATATTTCAGCCTCAGGTTTTGACTGCAGTGAGGCCTCCTGGTGCCTGCAGTGTAATCAACTGCTGAGCAGGAGGTGAGGATGGTAAATTCTCAGTGGAGCAGCTGCTGGGGACTTCTCGCCTCACCGAAAGTGCAGCTGAGGAACCCGCCACGTGAGGAGATGCAGAGCTTCTACATCCTTCCAGCAGCCAGCAAAACCAACCTGGTCTGAATCACCCTCTAAAATAACTCTAGGAGAGCAAAAAGGCTGGGCTCCAGTTTTCAGTGAGTGCTCCTGGAGGGAGGGAGGGGTTGAGAGACAGGAAAAGATGAAGCAGAATTGAGGGTGAACCTCTGAAAAGTAGCTGATTTAGCTTTGGGGTGCAGGTGTTGGCAGAGAACGTGTGGGTGTCTCAAAGGTAGCTGGGACAAGGTAAATCCTGGTCGAGCAGGGAAGGAAGGAGCAGGGGAGTGAGTATAGGGGTGAGGAGGGTTTCCACAGCCTGGTAATAATTAACAAGGGAAACTGGACTTCTGGTTCCCATGCCTTAGTGCTGCTTTTGCCAGCATCTCCATGCCAAGAAGCAAGTACCACTGCAGGTCACAAGTCCCCGAGGTTGCCCAGTAGTGGTAGGGAGCCTGACTTGGAGCAGAAGGTTGTCCTTCCTCTGTCTGGGCTCCTTGATCTTTATCCTTAGACTTCTAAGACACTGAGAGGATTACAGGGTGGGTTTTTTCCGTGCAGGGCTGGGATGTGCTGACCTTATCTGCACCCGTGTGTCTTGGCGTTGTGAAGGAATGACCTTGGGCTGCTTGGCTGGGTGTCTTAGACCAAGGCAGGACTGTGGAGAAGCCACCAGCCTAACAAAGATGCACCCCCAAGTCACCGTCCCTTGCCTGAAAAGCCACAGACACCCTGCCTGCCCTGCTCCAGTTGCCTCATGCCTTTCCTCAAGTTACTTACACGTAAAAAGACTACTTGCTTTTAAAATGGCAAATGAGCAGTGACCCCCTGTAATGAAGGGGATGTAATGAACTTGTGTTAGGGAAGGGCGTGGGCAGAGTCTGTGATCTAACAGCACTTTTTGCCCAGTATCAGCCTCCTGATGGTGCAACAGAGGTGTGAGGGACTTTGCAGTGCTAATACTGCTTAGCCTTGGGATTAGAGACCTTGTCGGTGCTGGGGAGCAAGGTCTGACTTTTTCCTGAAAGCCCTTATCTCCTCAAACAGCTCATGTCAAGGTGCAAGCGTGGAAAAAGCTTCGGTACTTCAGGAGGAGGCTCTGCTGCTGGGCTCTCAAGGGCCCTCTCAGCCCAGCTGGAGTCAACAGGAGATGTTTTGAAGAGTCATCTGTAAACCAGATCCTGCAAGACGTGGTTGTGTGGTTCTCCCCCACATCTTCATCCTTGCAGCATGTTGCCCCCAAGCTCTCTCAGCGTGGAGGGGGAAACTTGGGCATCTCACCCTGCTTCCAGACATTCCAGAATACTTGGGAGTGATGTTCAGGGTAGTACCCACAGTACTACATAGATGGCTTACTCCTGGAAGCCTTCTAAATTACCAGAGTGGCTCTTGCTGTAGCATTAAACACTCTGGATTTAAGGAATATGCATAAAATCTCACTGTAGTGAGGACAGCTTGTGTGCAGCTGGCTTGGATTCATTTAAACCTGCTGTTTCATTACCTGGGAACATGATGGAGACATCTGTAGGTGGCAGCTGATGGAGAATGGGTGGTGCTGGTGACTTTGCTGGTGACTTTCCTGGGTCTCATCTTTGAGTGATGCCAACTGGACTTGCCAACTGGATTTCTATCCACTCCATCAAAACTGGCACTGGCAAAAAAAAAACAAACAGGAAGAAAGTTAAGAGTTTGGATGCAAACTGGCTGGTGTTGATACCTCCTCAGATGTGTCCCAACAATTTAAAGGGTGGTCTTGAGATTCCTGCCTCCTCACTGATCTTTCCCTTATTTTTTTTTTTCAGAATGTCTTCAACATGGTTGTGGAAGTACCTCGATGGACAAACGCCAAAATGGAGGTAACTATGTCACAGGTCCTACCAGAAGTGCTTAGAGCTCACTAGTCTATTCATCTTTGGCTTTGCCAATTCCCTCCTCAGTTCCACCTCCTGAATCAGGACAATTTCTGATTTCTCATCTAAATACTCGAGGTATGAAGGCTGAGGGTTGCAGGAGCTGGAGGAACTGGGTATTCCTGTGTGGCTTCTGGTGACAGCAGCATCTCACAGCCCTCAACCCCACAGGGTTCTGACCTTTGTCAGCCTGTTGAAAAACAAAATCCCAGGAGGTGGCAACGCAACGGGAAATGGAGTGGTCCAACATCTGCTGGTGGCATCAGGGTCAGCTCCTGGGCTCAGTGAGCAGCCAGCGTGGTGAAAAAGAACAGCCTCCTTTTCCTCAGGGAGCAAAGCAAGTGTGATTTGTGTAACTTTTTTCTTGCAGATTGCAACAAAGGATCCCTTAAACCCAATTAAGCAAGACGTGAAGAAAGGGAAGCTGCGCTATGTCGCCAACGTGTTTCCTCACAAGGGCTACATCTGGAATTATGGTGCCATCCCACAGGTACTGGGACCTGGCTCAAGGACTCATCCTTCCCAGTGGGGAGGAGGGAGGATGCCTGTGTGTGTCTGACAGTGGATTCCTGAGGAAAAAGGTCAGCTGAGAGTCTGAGGTGGGACACGTCGTGTGTCACCTGGCTCATGAAGACGACCTGTCCAAAAAGCAGGAGTAGTTGTTAAGAGGAAATATCAAGAGGGAAGCTTGTAGCTCATGCTCTGAACGAGCAATTTGAGGATGAGCAGCTGCTGCTAGTGAGGTACCTGCTGTGTCACTCCTCTCTTTGGCCACCTGGCAGTTTGCTTGGACAGTAGCTGACAGGTCTTTGGGGTTGGATGAAGGAAGCTGTCACTGCACAAGGAACTGGGCAGCTGGCAGTGCCCTCAGTTCCTGCCTGGTGAAGCATAAGCAGGATCTTGGTGTACAGCCCCTGGGCAGGATCTTGACACAAGCTGCTTGTAGCAGTGAATGAGCTGCTTGCTCAGCTGCTCTAAGAGATCCAAAGACTGTCTTTCCCATTTCTGCCCCTCATATCGTTTGGAGCCTGAACCACAGCAAGACCTGCACGCTGAGCTGCTGGGTGGTTGCCCGTGCCCTGTTCTCAGTGCTGGATCTGAGAAGGGCACTCTGAAGTCCAGAGGCAGCTGCAGAGAGATGCTTCCTCTGACAACAGCTGGCAAGGGGGCACTGACAGGCAGTGACACCTGGACACACACTCTGAGCTGGCTGGTGACCAGTGTCAAGGGTGTTTATGCATCAAGGACAAGGGACCAAACTTCACACTTCCACGCAGACAAGTGCAGTAGCCATTGGGAAGGGTCCTTCAGCACCACCTGAGTGTCAGTACTATCTCCCTGAGTGCTCTGCATGCATCACAAGGTCTTGACTGTACCAGTCACATCCTGGCATGCAGAGGTTTGGGAAGATCATTCCTTCTTTATATACCTTAGCAACCTCAGAGGTAGATGCTCCTCAGGATGGAAGTGGGCATGGTGTCCCTTGGCTCCTGGTCAGAGATGTGTGGTTTAGGCAGCTGTCATTTTTTGAGGCAATTTGCTCCAATGCCTCCTGGAGCCCTGACTTCTAACAGCTTTTCCTCACCATTTCAGGTGACAAGCACTGGCACAGGATAGGGGACTCCAGGTTCTTGTCACAGCTCCAGTGTGACAGCCTGTCTTTAATTGTTTCATGAAAAGGAAACAATACACCCTATGTGTCTTCCATCTCTGCTGGGCTGCTATCTGGAGTTCAGGAAACTTCTGTTAAGAAATGAACAGGGAGAGGAACAGGCAGGCAGCCAAAGCAATGAGTGTTCTTTATAGATGTGAACTTCACCTTTATGCAGCTGTGGAACGGATGAGGAAGTCTGGAAAGCTGTTGAAAGAAAGGTTTGTCAGTAGGAGGGAGCAGCTTGCCCGTGGCAAGATAAAGCCTTTTAACTTGGAGTCAAACTGGTTTGCAGGCGTTTGTGAAATCGTAGCCCAGCTGCTAGACCTAGAAGCAAGTGTGGAGTGAGACATCATCTGTGCCTTCCTGGCAATTGCATGCCTGCAATCCACCTGCTTTTTGTTTCCTCTTGAGACCTGAGAGTTCTTATTCCTACGTGTGGGGGTGTTTTTGCAGACTTGGGAAGACCCAGGTCACAAAGATGAAAACACTGGCTGCTGTGGAGACAACGACCCGATCGACGTGTGCGAAATTGGAAGCAAGGTAACACATTCTGCAGGGTAACTGTCTTTTGGAATGTGTCATGAATGTTTCTGAAGTCAATTATCCAGAGGTATTACTCAGTTCCTACCTCCTCTACCTGAAGAATGTGATGATTCCCTCCACTGCCTCTGGGGGTTGTTGAGATCTTGCAGCTTGAGCCTGGTGAGCCAGGGCTGAAGAAGTGACAGGGCTGACCCTGATGAGTGACAGCCAGTGTAGTGGTTCCTGGACTCTGGCAGCTTGCACAGGCTCCTGCCATGCATTCCTTGGATGCACCACCACAGACAACGAGATTTGTGTCCTCCTTGCAGGTCTGTTCTCGAGGAGAAATCATCCAAGTGAAGGTGCTGGGCACGCTGGCCCTGATTGATGAGGGAGAGACTGACTGGAAGGTAATTGCTATCAACGTTGAGGACCCTGAAGCAGACAACTATAATGGTAAGTAAGAGAGGGAGGACCAGGCCTGGCACTTCCCTTCTCCTGCTGAGAGCCTGCAGGAAGCTTTCAGGTCAGGACGTGGGCTTGCTCCTTCTGTGCCTGGTATTCATCAGCTGTGATACCAGAAGGACAGCAGAGTAAGATGTTAGCAGTCCTATCTCAAAACATCCTACTGCTGTTTATCCCAAATTCCATCCTCTGCACAGCCTGGCACCTGGAAGAAGAGGGTGGCGGGACAGCCTGTCCTCTGAGTGGGAGGAAAGGGCTTGTCTGGTTTATCTGTAATCAAAGCTGTTTCAAGGTCCCTGTGCTCCTGGGGGTGATCAGGGGGTGCTGTGAAGGGGAAACCCCTCTGCAGCCCTCCCCTCTGGCTGCACTGTGAGCTGGCTGAAGGGCTGCTGGAGCTGCTGGCTGAGAGGGGCAGCTCAGGAGAGCAGGGGTGGTGGCTGAGGAACTTCTGCTCCTGGCTTTGGCTAACAAACGTCTTCACTCCTGCCTAGATATCGACGATGTCAGAAGGATGAAACCTGGGTACTTGGAAGCTACAGTGGATTGGTTCAGGAGATACAAAGTACCTGATGGAAAGCCCGAGAACCAGTTTGCTTTTAATGGTGAATTTAAAGACAAGGTAGGATCCCTTTCTTCATGACTGTAAGGGTGCAAAGGCCTGCTGCCCAGAACCAGAGCTCGAGGTGCATGGGGACACAGATGAGTAGTTGCTGAGAGACTGGGGTTCTACAAGGCTGCTGGGAGCTGGCTTCATTCTTCCTGCTGCTTTTCCAGCCTTTCTACTTGTTTTCAGGAACATGAGGAGAAGAGTAGGGTTATCAGGCTCTTGGATACGACCAGTTTTTCTTTTGGATGACGTTCACGTGGGATCACTTCAGGGCTGGGAGCCTCTGGGTCAGACCCAGGGTGGAAACCAGCCAAGATTATTTGCTCCTGCTCTGGAGCAAAGGGTATTTGACATCACCCTTTGCTTCCCTGGCTCACTGTCTTGGTTCCACTGCAGCTTGTTGCAAGTTGACTGCTTAGGAGTGAACACTCTTCTTCCCTTCAGGCCAAAAGTGTTCCCCACGCCCTGAGAATAAGGCTCTGCCTGGGCAGCTGCTCCTCTGCCTCTGCCCTGGGTGGGGTCACACAACTTGGTACTGCTGAACAGGAGAAATCCTGCCCCTGTGCCCTCCCTTTGCCAGGCCTGCTCTGTGCCACCAGGGGGTTAGTGAGGTGACTTGAATCCCGACTCTCCAGAGGTGAAGCTGCCAAACCTGGTGTGGGAAGGGCAGGAAGGGGTCAGAGGGGTAGAAATGGAAGTCCCATTGGAGTGGACTTGTCCCCTTTGGCTGTAGCACAGCACTAGGCTGTGTGGGCTGTGACATCTTGCTGCCCCTCAGGATGGGTGAAACCAGAATCAAGGCCAAGGCAGAAAGCAGGGACAAAGAACCTGCAGTGTTTGACTTGGCTCTGTGGTATCAAGCCAGGCTATTTCTTGCTGGTGTTCATGCTAACAAAGAACTGTGTGCACTTCCTTCTCCTGCTGGCAGGTTAATGCTTGAGCATATACTACTCTTTCTTCTTTTTTTTTTTTTAAGGAAAAATTATATGCTTGGAAGCAGATTCATTTTTTAAGTAGTTGCAAAGCTAGATTAGGTGCATGTCTCTTCCTGTTGATCTGTGCAGAGGTTGAATGAATTGCCTGGAGTGGAAGAAGGCTCACAGATAGGTCAGGCTTAACCAGCTCTGGAAACAAACTGAGTGGGAGGAGCAGCAAAGTGGAGGTGCTTTTATAACACGGCACTGGCCTGAGACTAGAATCACAGAATGGTTTGGGTTGGAAAGGACCTGAAAGATCATCTAGTTCCAACCCCCCCTGCATAGGCAGGGACACCTCCTGCTAGACCAGGTTGCTCAGGGCTCCATCAAACCTGGCCTTGAATGCATCTTCAGCTCCTTCTGGCCTGAAGCTCTCTAGGTGACCTTGGCATATGCTCCCATCTTGAAAGTAAAACAGTTTGTGTTGTGAAATCCCCATTTGAGCTTGTGTTTACTGGGAGGTTGCTGCTGTTCCTGAAAGGCACAGGACTGGAAGAGGTCTCTTTGGGTCCCTTCCAGAGTCAGAAACTATCTAAAATCAGCCTGGCCTCTTGTTCCCATGTAACTGATAGCCTGATAACTGTAACTGATAGAGAAGATGGCCCTGGTGCTCCCTCCTAACACGATGTTTCTTCCTCATCTTCACCTCCAGGCTTTTGCTGTGGACGTCATCAAAAGCACTCATGAATACTGGAAAGCTTTGGTAGCAAAGAAAACTGATGGAGGGGAGATCAACTGGTAGGTTAATCCCTATGGGACTGGGAGCATTCCTTGCCCCTAAACAAACAACCCTGAAACTTCCTTCCCATGCTTTCTGTTGTCCTCTTCTGGCCCTCCCACAGGCCTTCCCCTTCAATCTGACAGTTGTAACGATGACTCTTCATGTGTGTTTCACACCCCTGGGGGACAGGCTTGGCATTCCCAGCCTCACAAGTGACCTTTCTCTTGCAGCACAAACCTGACGGTGTCTGACAGCCCTTTCTGCTGTAGTCAAGGCTGTGCAAAAGCCACTGTGGATGCAGTAAGTAGCAGTCTTGAGTGTCCTACCCCCAGTGTCACCACCTGTGTGGGACCTGTGAACTGTCCTGGCTGTGGGAACGGTGCATTGTATGCTCAGAATGTCTTGGGTGGATGAACACAGCACCTGGTTCTGGTTAGACAGGATGGGTGTAGAGCAAGTTCCTCCAGAGGCTTCTCCTTGCCCTGAGTCACCTGGGAGATGGAATCCAGAAGGGCTAAACTTCTGAACCACAGCTTGGCTGTCAGCTCTTCAGAGAGCGTTTCAATATTTGGTCTTCCAAGAGCCTCACAGCACAGGTCACCCTTTGGGAAGAGAAGGTCTTAATTCCTGAGAGCCTTGGAGCCAGAGATCTTGCAGTGAAAAGCTGTAAGTTTCCAGAGCTCCTGCCCAGTTCCAGGGCTGACCTGCAAGGGGTTAGAGGAGCAGGAGAGGAAAATCCAAATGCCACAGGCAAATTTACACTGCCTAGACCTTAAACTGTGCTCAGTAAAGACCCGTGCAGCCCTACAGGATGTCTGGTGAGGTTCAGGTGTAGGGTTAACCTCCAGCAGCAGCTGCTAATACACTTCTCCTTTCAGGCACCACCGTGTGAAGCAGCCAACCCGATCCCATCCGAAGGTAGGTCTCAATCCAGTGCAGAATGGAGGCTTCCTGAAAGGAATAGGAGATGGTTTTATCTGGTGGCTGGGAACGAGGAGCCTTTTGACACCCTTAAGATAGGGCTCCCTAAGGAAAGGAGGCTGTGGGGAGGAATCCTCAGCCAGCTCTTGTCTTCTTCTGCACGAGGTGGTGGGGGGCACCTTCACGGGAACTCTGGCCATTGCTGTAGCAGGGACAAGCCCCGAGGGCGGGAAGGGGAGGTGGGCTGTTTCCTCCCACTTCACGGCCGAGAAACCCGAGACGACGTGGACGCCTGGCATAGGGGGGCTGGAGGTTCAATGACTCCACCTCCCGGAGTCAGCTGAGCCGGAGGGAAGCCCAGCCCGCTCTGCCTGGCTGGCCGGGCCTGCACCGAGCACCCGGAGCAGAGGGAGACTTCAGCAAAACAAAGACACAGCAGCAGGGCTGCACCAGAACCCCAGGGCTGTGTGGTGGAGCTGTAGACAGGCACGGGAGGGGCCCCCTCTCCTGGAGGTGATGCCTCAGTGCCCTCTGACTAAATCAGTGGCAAGCAGAGGACTAACCCCCTCTTTTTTTCCCAGTTGACAAGTGGTTCTACTACCAGAAGAACTAAGACCCAAGGACGGGTGGTGAGACAGCCACGTCCTTCCCCTCCCCGGGAGGAGTAGACCAGAAAAATAGCTTCAGTGTTGGCAAGAAGACCTTGCCCCGTACCTTTGCCGAGTAGAATTACGTGTCTAGCAGTGCCCTGCCTGCTGCACCGAGCTCTTGTGGAGCCCAGACCACTTCATTTATCCAGCCCAAACCCCCCTGCTCGCGCGTGGCCGTGCAGTGTGTTGTGTCGTGGCGACGGGAGGTCGCTCACCTGGGTGGGAAGTGTACGATAGAAATAAAAACCTCCTGAAACCGAGCCGGGCGGGACCCCTTTCTCTTTCCTTCTCCCCACAGAGCCCCGCAGCCGGCAGGGGTGGGAATAAGCCGGGGAGCGGTCTCGAACCCGCGGCGGGGCGGGTGTGACGTGGAGCCAGCGCGGCCGGCCCCGCCGCCCTTGACGTCCTTTCCGGCTGGG